TCTCCCCTCGCCCCCTTCTCTGTTGTCCATCCCCCAGGGAGGAGGTTATACGTAGATTCTTGTAATCAGTTCCCCCTTTCCATCCACATTCCCTCCACCCTCCAGGCATCGCCACTCTCAGCACTGGTCCTGAAGGGATCATCCGGCCTGGATTCCCTGTGTTTCCAGTTCCTATCTGTGCCAGTGTACATCCTCTGGTCTGGTCAGATTTGTAAGGTAGAGATGGGAGCATGATAGTGGGGGGTGACAAGATGTCTATTTCAAGACTGCTCTTTTCTGTTTAAATTCACTAACTGCTATCAAGTCAAGTATAACTCATGGCGACCCTGTAGGGCAGCGTAAAATCGCCGCGGTGGGCTTTCAGAAGCCGTAACTCTTTACAGGACTAGAAAACCCCATCTGTCTTCTGAGAAGTGGCTGGTAGTTTCAAACTGCTGACCTTGTGGTTAGCAGCCCAAAGCATAACCAGTAAAATGAATGAAATTTCTTTAATGGAGGATTATTTTTTCAGCGAGGGAGGGCTTTTGTGTGTATGTTAGCTTTATCATTACCACTTGTTTGATTTTCCTGTTCCTGTCTCAGAAAGACATTTATCGCCCTCTCTATTTTCTGGTCCCACTGTGCCTTCCTGAAACCGTTCCTGCGGGACTTATTTTCATTAGGTTATTTCCTTATAGCCCCTGGTGAATCTTCAAGGTTTCAAAACTGTTTGCACTTAGGGGTCATTTTTGTCTTTAAACATGATTGTGTCTGTCCTCCATCAACTGTAGGTTCTCTGCTCCTCTTTACTCTTACTCTGCCCTCCCCGCCTCCTCATGGTTTCTTCAGTTCCTCTCATTCCCCACAGCGCCAGGCTGAGGCAGGGCCTCCCAACATTGCTTACTGGGCTTTAATAACAACTTTTCCACTTCTGAGTCCACTTAAGCTCATAGAATTTTCAGGTTCTTTAGGATGTTGAAACCTGGCTTACCTGGGATTGTCAGGTAATTCTACTCTTCTTTGTAATCCGCAAAGGCTCTCTGGGATAAGCAGTGGCAAGGATGGGGGTACAAAGCCATCAGCAATTCAAACCCCCCAGCAGCCGCCCAGTCGAGAGCTGAGGCAGGCTGCTCCACGAAGACGGACAGTCTGTCCTACGGGGTTGCTATGAGTAGAAATCCACATGATGGCAATGAGTTTCATTTGGTGGAAGATGCATGGGGATTCATAGATCAGTAGCTGCCATTACCCTGGTGTCACTTAGATGACCCTGCCTCTGTCCTCTCTCACAGCAGTTTTGGAAGAATTTGCTTTTTTCCTTCCTTCAGTCAATCAAAGAATTGGAGGAAAGATTTAGCAGTTCATAATATAATTTGAGCTGGGCAAGAATAGCTACCAGTGTGGCATAGGTTTGTGTGTGCAGAATTCTGTTTTGTTAATATGCCTTACGTACTTATCACTTTGTTTCATAGAGAGGTGGCAGGGACTTGATGCGTTGCATAGCTTTATATTCTTTTCAAATTATTGTTGGTAAAATTGTGGTTGGAGTAGTAAATAGAGGTTAAAGAATTAAGTGTACTAATTTTAGATTTAAAATGCTTACCCTAGAAAGATAGCCGTTGTTTTTATTATAATTATTCTTTATTATTACTTACTACCAATAAGTTATTATTGATTTACTATTGGCTAGTCATTACTAGAACACTTTTTCTTCTCCCACTTTCTTTTAAAAATTAATTAAATTAATTAACTATTAGGAGCAAACATGTATTTAACAATTTCTGAATCAGTAACATTGATTGCATTCTTCAAGTGTACAATCACTGTCACCCCCCTTTACTGAATTATTTCCTACCCTGTGTTTGTCTGAGTAGACTAGAGAAACAAATCTAGGAAGACTCATGTGTATAAGACAGAGTTTTATATACAAGAACAATTGAATATTGAGAAAATATCCCAGTCCAGTCCAGATCAAGTCTATAAGTCTATTAGCCTATATGTCTGATACCAATCTATACATTTCTCTTCAGACTCATGCAACACAAGCAATGATGCTGAATGCAGGAAGATCACAGGCCAGTGGGTAGAAAGTCTCGTGGATCCAGTGGTGGAAGAGGCATCTCAGTGGTGGCAGGGGTCTCCACATGGCTCCTTTAGCTCTAGGGCTCTAGGGTAGCTCCATGTGTCTTCTCAACAGGAATGTCTCCAGGGAGTGAGTGTGTGTCCTGCCTCCAGTGAGCTATTTATCTCCTTAGTGCCTTCAAATGAGGTCATCAAGCTGTGAACTGATTGACAGGCTATACTCCACCCTTTCACTCTTAAGTCTCAAATTGACAACAGATTATGTAACTACCACTTAATCCATTAACATAAAGTTATGTGCCCCTCATCTGCCTCTCTAACCTTTGAGTGGCTTTTATAGCTTGATACCATACAGGTAGTTCTTAAAAATAGCAAAATGCTCAAGGCCAACATTCTTTATGAATTAAACTGAATTGTTCTTTGGTTTACAGGAGACTTCAGAGTATATTTTTTGTTTACAGCAACAAGAGGGCTGTGATATGCAGGCTTCCGGCTCTGAATATTTACAAGGAGAAGTGATGGTGAGCTAGAGACTGGGTCCCATGGATACTCAATGGTCAGACAGACAAAGCTAAGGAAGTCAAGGGAAAATGCCATCAGTTACCAAATAGCTGAACTTTTTACCCTTGGTGTAATAGGATTCCAGGAATGTAGACCTTAATATGCTAGGTTAGTATTTACTACAAGGTGACTTATAGTGTTACTGTAAAATGATCTGGTGGTAGAAAAGCACTGAGAAACTAATCTTCTACATGAATCTCAGAATAAGGCATCTGGCATCAGAGAGAGTGGAGGGCTATGGTAGCCAAATGGAGAATATGTTTCCTTTGATATCATGAGACTTTTTCTTGTTCATCTCTCTTCCTTTCTAATTCATGTATCTTCCCTCTCCTTATGTGGCCTTTTTGATCTGAGATCCTCAAATAGTCTTGTAAGGAAATACTCATGATGGGAAAGATCTAAGAGTAAGAGACAAGGAAATTAAGGCTGCTGACTTCCTGCCCTGTGCCACATACACATGAGACCTGTAAAGGTACGAATCCATTCTCTCTGCTTACCATGGGTAGCAATAAACATACACAGATTCATACACACTCGCAAAAGGCACACCCACACACAATTGTACTAGTTCCTCTCTTTGCTGGCTGAAAGCAGTGTTTGAATATGTTATGGTGTGATATAAAAATAAAAAGTTAGTGTTTGTCATTCTGGGGTCCAGGCCATTGACCTAGAGTTGCTCTATCTAACAGAGTAGCCCTAGCCACATGTGACTTCTAAATTAATTAAGAGGAAATAGAACTTAAAAATCAGTTCTTTCATCACATTAGTTGCATTTTAAGTGCTCCATGGTCATGAGGTCGTGCTTATAAATCTATAAGCAATCATACTGGATTGTGTGTATTTGGCACATTTCTATCATTGTAGAAAGTGCTATTGGACAGAACTGTCCTAGGCTAGGAGTCCTGGTGGTGTAGTGGCTACAAGTTGGGCTGTGATTGGCATGGTCAGCAGTTCAAAACCACCAGCAGCTGTGTGGGATAAAGATGGCTTTCTTCTTCTGCAAACAGTTACATTTTTTGAAACCCACAGGGGGTTTTACTATGAGTCAGCATTGACTTGATGGCTGTGAGTTTGTTTTTAATTTTTGTGTTTTGTCCTAGGCTAGTGTTAATTATCTAGAACTCTCTCTCTGGATAGCGAGCACCTTGATAGATGAACCCTGGGGCTTTGCACTTTCCTAGTCTTAGTTCCGGGCACATAGGTGCTCAGTCAAATGTGCTGCGTTTAAAGAGGGAAAATATTACTGTCTGCATACACAAGGTTCTAAGAATGTTTGCTCTATTCAAAATGAAAAGAAAAAATGGAAAAATATGGCAGTATATTTTCATTTAAACTGTCTTAGTATAGCATAGTTATTTTATTTTTCTTGTCATCTTTATTAAAATTGGGATTTTATCTGTATAATGAAATTACTTCAAATGTAATTCAATATGAAGTACTAAGAACCTACTAAGAAACTAAGCAATTTTACTAAGCAACTCTCTATTGAGCACTCCAGCAAGGTCCTTGCCCTCCAGGTATTTGTAGTAGAATTAATTGAGGAAATATTTATTCCACAATAGTATATGAGCTAGACACTGTTCCCTGCTTAATGGAGCTAACATTTCAGGGGGAGGGAATAGGCAATAAATAACATGAACATGTTACTTATAGGATATCTTAAAGGGTGATAATGTTAGAGAGAAAAAATGCAGGGAATGAGCTATGACGTGCAGAGTGCATGTGTGGTTGTTCTGTAACTTTAGGTAGTGTGGACTGGGAAGTCTTCACTGGGTGAGGTTTAAACACAATTTGAAGAGACTCCTGAGTCATGCATGTTCCAAAGGAAGAGCATTCCAGGCAGAGAGAATAGCAATTTATAAGCCCTGAGGCAGGAGTGTGGTTGATAGATGGTAAGTGACCCACATGAAACCATGAACCATAAAGCATGATGATAAACTAAGTCTGGAGGCTGGTGATCAGATGGTTCTAAGTTAAAGAGGGGGCATATATGAACAAATAATAGAAAATACGGTTGGAGAGATTATGGATAAGAATAAGAATATTAATTGTAGAAATGAGGAGTTTGGGGCAAACAACTATTCAACCAAGATGCACTGATAATTAGTGGAGACAGGAATGCAAAAGTTGGAAACAGGAGGAAACAGTAGTCAGAAAATACGGCATCGGTGGTAGAAACAAAGCTGGAGATTTTCAAGACCAATGACGTCTTTACCACAAATCTTTTTTTCAAGAACATAAATAACGACAATCCACAGGGACTTTCCCATCTGGAATCCACAGGAATGAAACGGACTACCTCTGTGGGAAGAGATGATGGAGAAGCTCCGTGTCATCAGCCGAAACAGGGTGAGGGGCTCACTGTGGGCATCCATTGCGTTTTGGCTCTTGTGAACAAGTCCACAAGAGCCAAAACTCAACCTTGAAGCATCCCACCTGAATTTGAAGAACGTCTCAAGACAGATTTGACACATTGAACACTACTGACTAAAGATTTGAGAAGTGATAGGAGGACACCAATAACATCATACTGAAGAAAGCAAAAGACCATTAAAAAGACAAGAAAGAAAACACCAAAACAGATGTCAGAAGAAACTCTAAAACGTGTTCTTTTTCTGAAGCAAGTGGAAGAAATGATGAAGTAAAAGAGCTTAACAGAAAATTTCAGAAGGCAATCCCAGACATGTGCAAGGATCTGGAGCCTAGGGAGTAGAAAGGACAAACCCATTCAGCATGTTTGAAGTTGAAAACACGGAAGAAAAATGTCAAACCTCAAGTTAACATTGAAGGATTCCATTGGCAAAAATATCGAACAATTCAAGAAGCAGCAAACAATGAAAGAAATCCACAGTCACTGTACCAAACAAAAGGATAAAGAATTAGTTGACACTCCATCATATCAAGACAGAGCACATGCTCAAGAGCCAATGAGACTGCAGGAAAAGTCCAAGCTGCATGACGGCATCAGTGGAAAGCACGGCTCCAGGAATCGACAGCCTCTCAGTTAAAGTGTTCACCATGCTGGGAGAGCCCTGGAGCACTCAATGGTCTAAGTCAAAAACTTGGAAGGCAATTACCTGGCCAGCAAACTGGAAGAGATCCATATTTTTGTTAATTTAGAAGAAAGATGACTCAACAGAATGCAGAACTACTAAACAGTATCAATATCGTAAGCAAGTAAAATGTTGCCGACCCAAACCCAACCAGCCCCACCACCGTCCAGTCTGTTCTGACTCAGAGGGACCCTTCTGGAGCTCAGGAGAAGGGCCTCTTTGGGTTTCTGAGACTGTCAGCCTCTACAGGGACATCTCTATGCTCCAAGGCTGAGGATCGTTTTAAAAAATGGCTGCAGCAGTCCAGCAAAAGGGAGGTGCCAGAAATTCAAGCAGGATTCAGGAGAGGATGTAGCATGAGAGTTATCATTACGTATGTCAGCTGGATCTTGGCTGAAAGCAGCAAATACCAAAAACATTTTGTGGGATATGTATCTAAATTGATGTATCTGTATATCCTACTTCTCAGAAGCCTGTCCACTGTGTGTTGAAATGCACTTGAGGGGACTTCAAAAAGTCCATGGAAAAACAGAATTAAAAAATAACGGTGTTTTCCCACAAACTTTTTGAAGCCTCGCATATCTTCACAATGTTACATACATAATCTCGCTCAGGTATTTCTAATATTTTCCATGTTATCAAGCTCAGCTCTACCCTGGAAAGGTCCAACATGTAAAAAAATCTGATTTCAAAATAAACATAAATGTGATTATTTACTTTCCAAAATGAATCATTACTTAGTGCAAAATGCATTTTTCTTACTTTCAAATAGGAGATTTCCCAGGATAGTAGGCTGTAACTAATTTACAGACATTGGCTTTATACTGGGTTTCAAGGTGCACATCTACAAATCATGTAAAGGAAGGTCTACGTTTAACCTTAAGCTCTGTAAGGTCTTTTAGAGATAAACAGTCCAGGGTCATGTATTATCCTTGTTGCCTTGTGCCCTCACAATTTCCCATGAAACTGACCTTTCACTCTTTTGCCTCCTGACCCTTCCTGGCAAATCTTTAACTTCAAGACACTTTAGCACAGCGTTGCTGAGAAGAAGCCTTTTTTAGACTCTCAAGAACATTCTGGTGATCACAGTTCCCGTCAGAACCAGGGCTGTGGTTGCCCAATTATCCTCTTTTCAGAGTCCTCTAGCTATGACGTCTGTTGTGGATCACAAGAGCTAGAGTTAAGGTTTAGGTGGACATTTCTAGAATCAGTCAGAAAACACAAACGCTTTAGCAGAAACCCTCTGTAAGCTATCGCATCGCCATGAGTCTCTTTGCCCATTACCGTCATCCAGTATCCTGGGACACCCAGCACATGGCAAAGCTTCCATGACATTTAGGTCGGAGCCTTAGCACGAATCCTTAGCCTCCTGAGGTAAAAGCATTGTGAACGTGACGTGTTTGTCTTTGTTAGCGTCCCCATTCCGTGTGTAGTGAAATATGTCTTCCTGGAACCCGGAAGGGCATTCGTCAGGGAGAAGCGACATGCTGTTTCGACTGCATTCCGTGTGCCGACGGATACGTGACATCGACCCCAGGTACAGATGGCCACTTTTCACATCTCTGTTCATATGCAGTCAGGTGTTTGTCAAGAGGCCCTTGGGAATCTTCTGTATAAATGTGAGCAGTTTATAACTTAACTGTTGTCCTCTCTCAAGCCATTGGTGTTCTGTGTTAATGTGAACAAATACAGTATTGGGTTTGGGGTCCAACTGCTCCGGTTGAGAAAAAGGCCCGAAAGCCCTTCAACGATAATGGTCCTAGAGGAAGTACAGAGTGAACTACGTTGTTGGAAGGCACAGTTGAGTCCGTTTGACTTGCAGCAACTCGATGCGCAGCAGATGAAGCACTGCCTGGTTCTGGGTCCCCCTCACAATGGTTGCAGATTCTGTGTCAATACATCTTGTCCAGGGCCGTCCTCTTTGTTGCTGCCCGTCCACCAAGCAAGATGTCTTCTCTGGGGGCTGTTCTTTCCTGATACCATAGCCAAAGCCCTCGAGACAAAGTCTTGCCATCTTTACTGCTAAAGAACATTCGGGCTGTCCTTGAGGACAGATTTGTTTGTTCTTTTGGAAGCCCAGGAGCCCTGGTGCGTAGTGGTTGCACTTTGGGTTGCTAACCTCAAGGTCAGCAGTTCGAAAACACCAGCTGCTCCTTGGGAGAAAGATGAGGCTTTCTATTCCCATAAAGAGTTGCAGTCTCAGAAACCCATAGGGGCGGTTCTATCCTTTTCTATAGGGTGGCTATGAGTTGGAATTGATTCAAACTATATGAAATACAAAATATGAGAAAACAAATTCATAAAAATATTTAAGTTTATTTAGGTTTTTTAAGTAGATCAAATAGTAGTGTGTTCATAATTGGTAAAAAATGAATTCTAGTCTACTCTCTACTAATTATCTCTCGTCCCAGGAGCCCCGGAGTTCTGTGAGACAAGCATCGGCTCCTAACTGCAAAGCAGGTGGTGGAAGCCCATTAGCTGCTCTTTGAGAGAAAGACGAAGCTAAGCCGTCAGCTCATGTAAAGATTAATAGTCTTGGGAATCAAATGCAAGGAACAGTTCTTCTCTGTTCTATAAAGTTGCTGAGTTAGACCTGACTCTCTGGTAGTGGGTCTGTTTCTTTGCTTTTTGGCCATCTCTAATGTGAAACGAGAAGATCCTGAATTAAATGAGGCATAACAGGAGCCCTGGTGGCATAGTGGTTACAAATTAGACTGCACTCTGCAGGGTCGGCAGTTCAAAACCACCAGTAAGTCTGGGGGCAGAAAGACTGGACTTTCTGCTCCTGTTAAGCAGTTAGTGTTGGAAGCCCACAAGGGGTCTCTCTGAACCAGCAGTGACCGGTGGCTGTGAGTGTGAGTTGGACTGAAGCCCAGAGGAGGCATGCTTCCCCCCTGAAGACACTGACTGAATGCATTGGTAATCAAAGTTGTTGCACAGATGAACTGGGCAGCTATTACTCTATGAATGCTGCACTACAACCTGCTAAACTTGGGTTTTATGTGCTTAGCCTTAGCGGATGTATTTACAGAAAGAGTCCACATATTTTTAGATGTTTAGGGATAAACCCTTCTGTTAAAGATGGCACATATTACTCGTATCTCTCAACAAACGGCCCTCTAATGAAATAGAATGCAATTAAAGGGGAAAATCCTCTCAAATAGAAAGTAACAACAACAATAATAATAAAAGCCCCTGGCTTCCACAAGGCCTAGTCCCTCATAGACATACATCCTGAGAAATATCACCAAACAGCCATTAATCATTACCTGCATCTCCCAGAGAATGTCAATGATCTCTATTTTATGTTCTCCCATAACCCATCTCAAAGAATTGTTTTTCTCAGGTCCCGATGTTCTCCCTTGGAACCTCTGCCTTTACTGGCTGCCCAAACGTTTTCTCAGCCCGTCAACCCAGTGGTGGTTTTTGCTTCCTTCCTTCTTTTCTACCCATTTTTTCAAATGGACAAATGAGCAATGACTGAGGGCAGAAGGTGGACGGGGGAAGGCTGAATGGGCAAAAGTAAATTCTCTTTAGGAGATAGCAGTGGTATGAGTGGAGGACCCCAACCACGTGGATTTGAGTCAGCCTATCCCTGCCGCACCTTTCTTGGTTGCTTCACCTTTGTACCTTTGATTTTTATATATTTGTTGAATCCTTTATGGAATGTCCTGGGCTTTATGAAGATACATATTTCTCTTCTCAATCAGATAATTGGAAGAGAATGAAAGAGGCCTCTTCCTGAAATGGCCCGTGGAGGAAAGACTTTACAAAGTTGTAAATAATTCTCTATCTGTAATATTATCTGGACAATCTAAGGCTATTCTATCACTTCTGTGATAATGTGGTATAAATGGATTTTCAGAGTTTTTGTTCTAGGGCTTTGAAGGAGAACATGGGGTTTATTTCTCGTCTGTTCTTGGTTCAACAGGTCTGAGGGAGTGTACGCAGTGTGGTGAAGACTATTGGTCAAATGCACAAAAGAGCAAGTGTGTGCTGAAAGAAGTGGAATTCCTTGCTTACGACGAGGCCTTAGGATTCACACTGGTCATTCTGTCCATCTTTGGGGCCCTGGTGGTTTCTGCAGTCATAGTTGTGTACGTGCTGCACAGGCACACGCCCCTGGTGAATGCCAACGACCGGGCGCTGAGTTTCCTCATTCAGGTTTCGCTGGGCATCACGGTGCTGGCGTCCATGCTCTTCATCGGCAAGCCATGCGACTGGTCCTGCAAGGCCCGCCAGATTGTCCTGGCACTGGGGTTTTCGCTTTGTCTCTCTTGCGTTCTTGGCAAGACCATTTCACTCTTTTTAGCCTACAGGATCTCCAAATCCAAAACCCAACTTACGTCCATCCCTCCCCTTTATCGGAAAGTCATTGTATTGATCTCTCTTCTAATTGAGCTTGGCGTATGCATAGCCTACTTGGCATTGGCGCCCCCGAAGGTGTACAAGAACATAGACTCTCAAAATATAAAGATCATTCTGGAATGCGATGAAGGCTCCATAGAATTTCTATGCTTCATCTTTGGGGTTGATGTCTTCCTGGCCTTGCTTTGCTTTCTTACCACCTTTGTGGCTCGCCAGTTGCCAGATAATTACTATGAAGGAAAATGCATCACCTTTGGGATGCTGGTCTTTTTCATTGTCTGGATTTCTTTTGTCCCTGCTTACTTGAGCACCAAAGGCAAGTTTAAAGTGGCTGTGGAAATATTTGCCATCTTGGCGTCCAGCTACGGCTTGTTGGGTTGCATATTTGCTCCCAAGTGCTTCATAATTCTCCTGAGGCCAAAGAGGAACACCAATGAAATTGTTGGGGGACGAGTCCCAACGATAGATAAAAGTATCCAACTCACGTCAGCCTCTGTGAGCAGTGAGATTAACAATACCATGGTGTCTACTGTTGTTCCTGAAGATTAGAGGTTGGGGTGTCCTTCAAACCTACAGTGGCGACATAACTTTACAACCCCTTTCAGGTTGCTTCTGCTGCAGCTCCCTGATGCTCAGGCGTGACATTGAAGATGCAGGTTCTGGTAGTGTAGTCTTCCTATGGTGTAGAAAAGCCTGTGCCGTATGATACCTTGGAATACTTTTTAATATTGCGATTGTAACTCACGTCATTACACTTCAGTCAAACATTTCACAATACCTTGGTATAAGAAGTGTGCAATGAGACTATGTAAAACAAACACTCCAAAATGACAGATTAAAAGTGTGACTCTTGAGTATGTTTTTGTTCTTCTAGAATGAACGCGATCTAGAAATGTACATTAAACAGAGTCATAGAGGGACTGCTGGGTCAGACATTTGTTAATGCCTCGGTGGCCTAGCTACCTTCTCTAATGGAGGCAAAAATGACAGCCCATAAACTTTCCCTGGCAGCACTTGTTTTGGTAAGGTAACTTAGGCTTCTTGCAGCACAGAGAATATTGAAGGGATTGAGATGCGAGCCACACTCTGTTCCCATGAACTCATTTGGAAATAGACAAGTCTCCCAGCGGATTTCCAGATTTTTTTAGAAGGAGAGTAAGTGATAAAGTATTTGTGTTTAAAACAGTCTTTTGTTTGCAAAATAAAAGGAAGGGAATTGAGGGTTGTAAAAAATAGTGGCACAGGAGGATGGCGTCTGGCACCTGACCTACTCTGAATTCACAAGGGAAAAGGGAAATCTCCATCAGCATCAGCTCAGGAGTCCAGGTTATATGTGCCTCCACCCTCCAAACGTGTTACCGATTCTGACACTAATGTTCCCTCCCACAACACTCTGCGTCTCATCTGGGTTTGATCATTTATTGCAATGATTACACCCAACTCACAGACCATGCCCATGCCCATGGGCTTTATTAGCGAAGTTAACAGTTTACAGTGCAGTTGTTCATTTAGGACAGTCTCTTCTCTGACCTATCTGCAGGCAGGCTTCTCTCTGGCCTTCAGCCTCTTGGCCTGTTCTCTGCCTTATGATGCTACAAAGCTCTTTTAGGGCTGCTAATAAGGACCCAAAGGGCATGCCCCTCTGCCCTAAGCTTCAGCTTGAAGGCACTCACCTCTCACTGCATGGTTCAATAAACCTAGTCCCCCACTTATGTCGCTGGAGGCTCCCAACTCAATAAGCCAACCGTCTTCCTGGAGACACTCAACTTGGTTTGCTCTGTGGGTGGGGATGTCTGCAGCTCTGTCTCAGGCTCTTGCCCTTGAATCTGCTGCTGCAGCTCCTCTGCTTCCCCTGCTCCTCTGATGTCACTGCTGTCTCCTGGATCAAGGAGGTTCGATGTGCAGGAATCTTGGGGTCCAAAGGGCGTGCTCCACTCCTCACTCTTCTTTCTTGCTGGTAGTGAGTGAGATTTCCCCCTTCCTTCTTCTGAGATAGCTCATTTCCTACCCGGCAGGATGATGATGACATTTAACTGTTTAGTAACCATTCACAACTGAATCCTACTAGCATCATCCCCCATTTTCTTTACTTAGACTCATCAGGAAACAGTCACTTGGTGGGAGTAAAAGACTGGTACGAGAGTGAGATAGTTAAAAGTTTATTGTGACAGCTTGGCCAATAAACACACGTGGGGTTAATTGAAGGACGGAGAGATAAATGGTTCGGTGAGCCTCGCCTTTCTAGTTCTCAGGTCTCTGGCTTTCTGATGGTTGGACCAGGGTACAGCTGCCTCAGCCAGTTCCCTGCTTCAGCCGAGAAGGCTCACTTCCTGCAAGACATCCCTGAGGAGAAACCACATGGACCTCCAGCCCTGGGTGCTGGAGCAGCCGTGTGGAAACCCTGCCAGCGCTGAGATGCTTACACATTCACTAACTCGGCTTTCCTCCTGCAGTCGGCATCATTGCGTGTGTTTTGTGAGATGAAGGACGACTTTGGGGATTGGTGTCGGACATTTAGGTTAATGTTGGACTTGTGGGCTTGGGCAGCACTGGGTTAGGATGTTTTCTTGATGTGCACTTAACCTTTATATAAAACTCTCTCTTAAACACGAGTTTCTATGGATTTGTTTCTCTAATGTACTCAACTAACACAGAGAGTCATATTAAATAATTCACTACACTACAAGGTGTCAACAAAGAAGTTATTAAACTGGCTATATAGTAAATATCTGAGTGGCAAAAAAGCAAATATTCACTTAAAGCATGCATTAGATTTATTTTAATAAATAGTGGATGATAGCTACTTCTCAATTATCTAGAGCAGGGGGAGGGAATCTTTTTTTTATTTTTTGCCAAGAGCTTTCGGGTATTTACGACATCATTCATGGTCCATACTGGTCAAACATTTAGTGAAGTCACCCTCATGTGATGGCTGCAACTGCTTCTCTTGGCTGAGGTGGTTTGTGTTAGTTGGTACTGATGATTTTGAGGGCCTTACAGGGCAACACAAAAGAGGAAGGCCTCTGATGAGATGGATTGACTCCGTAGAAGCAACAGTGGCTCGAGTACGGGAACAATGCAAAGGATGGCACAGGATGGGGCAGTGTTTTGTTGGGTTGTGCTTAGGCTTACTATAGGTCAGAACCAACTCTATGGCACGTAATAACAGCAATATGGTTCACAGGTCAGACATTCCCTAGTCATGACCTCGCAGAGGTCCTCAAAGTACGGCCCGTGGGCCACATGTGGCCCGCCGAGGACATTTATCTGGCCCGCTGGGTGTTTTTGCCGCCGCTGCCTATCCTGCTTAGCAGCTGCCTTGTCCAGTATGCATAGGAATTTGTTCATAGTTTTTTTTTTAAACTATAGTCCAGCTCTTCAATGGTCTGAGGGACAGTGAACTGGTCCCCTGTTTAAAAAGTTTGAGGACCCCTGATAGGGATAACTGGTATTTAATTCTCACATTGGCAATATTATAAAATTAAGTTCAATCTTCTTCCAGATATGAAAATTTTAAAATGACTTATATGTATATTTGGGAAGTCAATTAAACATATGGAAACTAGAGCATGTAGAAATGCTGCTAAACCATAAATCTATGATTATACTTGACTCGAGAAATAAAACAGGGTTAAGAAAGAGCTTTTAAACACGCAGCCATGTAGCTCAGAAGCAACAAAGCCCACATGGAAGAAGCACACCAGCCTGTGCGATCATGAGGTGTCGAAGGGAACAGGTATCAAGCATCATCAGAACAAAAAATCATATCATTGTGTATAAGGGGAGTGCAGAGTGGAGACCCAAAGCCCATCTGTAGGCAATTGGACATCCCCTTATAGAAGGGTCACGTGGAGGAGATGAGCCAGTCAGGGTGCAGTGTAGCAACGATGAAGCATACAACTTTCCTCTAGTTCTGAAATGCTTCCAACCCCCCACTATCATGATCTCAATTCTACCTTACAAATCTGTCTAAACCAGAGGATGTGCAAATCAGAACTGGAAATACAGGGAATCCAGGGAAGATGATCCCTTCAGGACCAGTGGTGAGAGTGGTAATACTGGGAGGGTGGAGGGAGGGCGGGGGATCTACGTATAACCTCCTCCCTGGGGGATGGACAACAGAAAAGTGGGTGAAAGGAGACATCAGACAGTGTAAGAAAAGACAAAATAATAATTTATAAATTATCAAGGGTTCATGAGGGAGTGGGGAGGGGGGAGAGAGGGGGAAAACGAGGAGCTGATGCCAGGGGCTTAAGTGGGGAGCAAATGTTTTGAGAATGATGAGGGAAATGAATGTACAAATGTGCTTTACACAATGGATGGATGTATGGATTGTGATAAGAGTTGTATGAGTCCATAATAAAATTATTTTAAAAAGAGCTTTGTTCAAGGGAACTTAATTATATTTGTGAATACCTGTTGGGAACCGGCAGCCATGAAGGCCTTGGTCTCAGGCACGTAGCTGGAGCTCGGATGCTTCCTGGTCGTTAAGTTTCGTTTCTCAGGGCTTTCCTGTGGGGAACTGGCCCTGCCTAATTTCCTGGCCAACCCAACTTCCGCGTTCCAAGCTACGTGCTCTGTAGCACTGGCGGTTGTAAAAGCTGACCTTTTCACTCATTGGTTAAAAATACCGAGCACTCATTTGACTACAGACATACCATATTAGGAATATGATGGACTTGGCAATACGCCTGATGAACCTTAATTTGCATGCGGACGTCTTTGAGAACTATTGCGCGCCCTTTTAACCTGCAGCTGATTGGTTAACATTCTTATGCTTCATTATAATATACATATTGGATTGGATGTTATGCAGCACACCTTATTAAAATATGCACCTCCCAGTTCCTCCTTACTGCAAATATATACCCCGAGCTTTGCCCAAATAAACGGGCTTGATCAGCATTTGTCTTGCTCCACGTCTCCGCGTCTTTCTTCCATCCAGGTTTGCCTTTCCCTCCAGGGCCCTGCTCGTGTGTCCCGCAGGCCAGGACGCTACAAATACCTTTTAGCCAAATTCAGCAGTGACTCATGAAGGACTGTGAGAGCAGAAAAGGCTATATCAGGATGATCACTTTAGTAGGACAGGTTCTATTAATTTACTGAATTTCCAGGTTGATCAAACCCAAACCCAAACTACCAGAAGCCCCAATAATTCTACTCGTAAGCTATTCCCCCCCAACTTGAAAGCAAGGCTCATAAGAAGAAGTGGATACACTAATGTTCAGAACAGCACTATTGACAATAGCCGAAAGGTGAACATAGCCTAAATGCCAATCAACAGCTGAATGGAAAACCAAAATCTGGTACACAGATGCGTGTTACATATGATGGAGCTTGAAGACACTATGCTGAACCATAAAAGGACAAATATAGTGTCATCTCATTTATATAGAGAGATAAGAAAAGGAAAATATTTAGAGAACAAAGTTTATAAGTGGTGGCTAGGGGTAGAATAGAGGACAGGATTAATGGTGATTGAAAAATTGTATCTGAAATTACTGTCAATAAGTTCCACCTGGAAAATTGGCAAAAGTTATGTGATAGAT